CCACCCATCCACCCATCCACCCATCCACCCATCCACCCATCCACCCATCCACCCATCCATTCATCCATTCATGCATCCATCCATCCTGAAATGCTATGTGGCAGACCCTAGGCTGTTGATGGAAGATACAGATATGAATAGAACATGACCTCTGCCTTCCTCAGTCTTCCAGTCTAGCAGGAAACCACCTTTTAAGCAAATAATGAGTATAGGGTGTGGCATGTAAGTGGCACCCCCAAGGTAGATTCAGTGGCTACGCTGAAGACCTAAGCACTCCTGCCCCCCAGCCCGGACCACTGTCTGCCGATGTGGGGCCCTGGGAGCCACCCGCCATATGGGGCCGTGTACATACAACTTAATTAAGAGTGAATTAAGTGACCCAGGCCTGTCCTGGTCTCCACTGTGACCATCGCTTCCCACAGCTCAGCTACCTTTGGGTCCTCTGATCGCGTCTCCCTCCTGCCTGCTCTGCACGCTCTCCACTGTCCCTCCCCCTGGAAACCCAGGCCCTCTGTCCTGGTTGCCTGCCCTGGCCGCCCTGCCCTGGCCGCCCTGCCCTGGCGGGGCTCTACTAGGTCCGCAGACTTGCCTAGTGGGTGCCTGCACTCACACCAGCCCCTGCCCAATGGTCATCCTGCAAAACCCGCTGCCCTGTAGGACACCCCGCAATGTCTTGTTTGTTGGTTGGTTTTCCCCTGAGGTTATTCAGTTTCCCCAGGAGAAACTTCTGGCTGCTTCCCCTGGCTCCAGGCCAGGCTTGGGGAAGGGAGCTGGACGCCCCACCACGTGCTTGTAGATGTCGCCCTGGGCCCCATTTCAGTCCCAGGCGGGGCTTCCTGCACCAGGAGCCTCCCAGGGCTGCCCTCCCTGTGTGTCTGTCACTGGGTTGTTGGACTGGGAATGTCCAAACGCCTCCAGGAGAAATGAAATGTCTGGTCATGCATGACTGATCTGCAGGAACAGGTCGCAGCTAAACACTGTGCAGCGAGGCAGCTTCAGATCCATGGCCTCTGAATTTCCGAGGGAGGGTCCTGGGGATGCATCTTTGGTTACTGACCTGGGATGTCTGCTCTCAGCACCTGATTAATATCCTCGGTGAATACCCAGCCTGCTTTCTGCTCTTGAGCTCACTTTCAGTTACCTTATATTCAAAAACAAGAGGAGGCTATGTTGTTACTTTAGACTTGCTCATTCTCATATCAGATTATGGGCACAAACACTCCTGCATTTGGAAATTTAAAAATACACTTCCAAAGAATTTTCATGTCAGGGCACCTGGGTGACTCAGTCATTAAGCATCTGCCTTCGGCTCAGGTCATGATCTCAGGGTCCTGGGATCGAGCCCCACGTGGGGCTCCGCTTCTCCCTCTCCCTCTGCTTATGCTCTCATAAATAAATAAATAAATAAATAATCTTTAAAAAAAGTAAATAAAAGAAACACATGAAACAGACCATAAAGAAATGACTGGGCTGCAAAGCCAAATGTCAGTTCCTTGGCCCTAAGTGGGAGGCAGAGCTCTGGGGAGGTAGATTGGGCAGGAAAGCAGGTGCACAAACATCAGGAACTGGAAGGGGGTGAACACAGGCTGGACCAGCTGTGATTCCCTGAATTTGCCATCAGAGGCCATGGACAACGTGGAGGCAGCAGGCACAGCCGAGGACGATTCAGGAGGAAGAACACCTGGACAGACGTGTGCACTGAGGGACCGCATGTGGGCCACTGACAGTCGCCCCAGATGTGAAGAACAAGTTAACACAGCAGTCCCACATGGTTTCCCGGGACAGTGACACTCAGCCTTCCAGGACCAGATAATCCCCACTTCACGCAAACCCTCCCAGGCAATGGGCTGCCATCGCTAGATGTGGGACCTGCGGTGTCCTGGGCTCCTCAACACCTGGGAAGGCAGGAGGAGCCCCAGGCCCAGGTGACCTCAAAATCTGGGGAGCCTGAGCGGGTTCTGTCCTTCTGGGATGGGAGTGGCCTGCATCCCCCTTTTATCTTTACCCGGTGTCCACCTGGACTCAGGTATGAGGTCGGGGTAAATGGGGCATTTCCGCCGGGACAAGGCCAGGGAGGCTGGCCCCTCGGTGTCCCACAGGACGTACAACTGAAGGAGAAAGATCGATAAACCCTGGAGGAAAGAGCAGGGTGGTGGGCTGAATAGTGTCTACTTCCTGACCCCGGGCACCTGTGAACATGACCTGATTTGGAAACAGGGTCTTTGCAGATGTGAGTTGAGGATCTTGAGATGAGGTTGTCTTGGATTTAGGGTGGCCCCTACATCCAGTGATGGGCGTCCTTAAAAGACAAAGAAGAGGGGGGTTCGAGACGAGGAGACGCAGGAGAGGAGCCTGCCAGGCTGGAGCAGTGCGGCCATGAGCCCCGGGCCCCCAGGGCCTGCAGGGGAAGCCACCCCGCCCCACCGGGATCTCCCTGGACGTGGAGGGGCATCTGGGGGTTGAGCCCCATGCAGACCTGCAGCCCAGGAAGCTAGCACAGGTGTGGTGAAGCAGGGGCAAAGATGTCAGTAACTCTAATTGTTGTGGTCAAATAAAGTATCCATTGCAAGCAGATGCGCTCCCAGCGGAATGGAATCTCCGGTCGAAAAGGACCCTGGAACTTGGCAGGAGGCAGGAAGCAATGGGCGAGGTAAGGTCCCCCGCATCTCTTGCTGGGAGGGGGCCGCGGGCCAACAGAGGACCACCGTGTGCGTGCGTCTTCCTCGTGGCCAGGTTCCCCTGGGTGCCCGTGATGGGGTCCACCACCTCTCGAACCTCTCCCTCCCGACCCAACACCAGAGCACCGAAGGGCAGAGAGCGCGGGCTGGGCGGCGGCAGCAGCAAATGAGAGTTCGAACAACTCTAGTAGGACAGAAGCAGGTGGTGGAGGGACCGGCAGGCAGAGGGCCCCTCCGAACCACGGCAGCCAGTGACACGCAAAGCATCTACGTGAGGAACTTTATTTTATTTATTTGAGAGAGAGAGAGAGACCCTCGTGCATAGGAGCTGGGGGAGGGGCAGAGGGCGAAGCACACATGCTCACAGCCTCATGCTCGCACATTAACTCATGCACACTCACGCACACGTGCACACACTCTGACACACGCTCACACACAGGTCACACACTCATGCTCATGCACACACTCACGCACACATTATAATCCCCATGGAAAGTAAGACTCTTGTTCTAGAGAGATGGCCTCGCCTCCCTCCCTGGGCCCCTCAGCCCCCAGATGTGACAGGGCAGGCAGGGGCGCTGAGGCCTGGCTGTCTTTGGGAGACGCAGTTCCCAGCTGAGATCCCACTGGATGGTGGACTCTCTCCCTGCATGCAGCCAACGCTTGGTCCACAGTTGAAGGGAATCCCGGCACCCAGGTGGGAACTCTGCTCTGGTGGGTGAACAGGCCCAGGCTCTGGGCTGCTGGGATGGGCTGGGGTTTCTGCACCTGCCAATGGGAGCCGAGCGCCAGGCCTCCCCTCGTGGAGAATGGGTTCCTCTAGATGCCAAGGTCTGCCTGCCACCAGAATGGCCACGCCTGGACCAGGGCCATTTCAACCTGGGCACTGGATATGAGGGCCAGATGACTTTCTGTTGTGGGCTGCCCTGTGCAACGGAGGGCGTTTAGCGGTGTCCCCGGCCTCCATGCTGGAAGGACCCTACAGTCTGGCACCCAAAAACGTCTCCAGACTCACACAATTGTCCCAGCTGAGACAAGCAGGTCTGGACAGGCCATCCAGCTGGTCCGTTGTGTCTCTCCCGGGAGCTGCTCTGGGCCCAGCGGGGGGATGGATGGGGTTAGAAGTGGGGCCGAGCTTGGCACCATGTCCCCACCCTGGGGGCAGGAAAGTCTGACCAGACCCCACCCACTTACTTGGAAAGAAAGATAAAAAGACTCCCAGGGAGTCCCAGGGAAGAAGGCTGTGTGTCCATCCACGGTGAGGAAGCTGACTGATGGTCAGACCCCTGAGACTGGCTTGCCAGACCCTGGGTTCTTGCCCTGGTCTCCTGACACCTGCCCTCCCCTCTTCCCTGCAGATGCTGTGGCTGATGCTTCTGACCCTCTCCTGCCTGGGGGGCTCTGTGCCCGCCAAGATCCCAGGTGAGTCCTAGCCCTGCACTGTGCCCGCCTGCCCTGGTACCCCAGCCCTGCCCTCAGGCCAGCTGGCCCTCTGACCTAGGTGAGAATGGCCCAGAAAGCTCCTGGGCTCTGCAGGGTGGCACGGCTGAGTCCCTGACCCCTGCACATTGTTCCACAGCATCCGTCCCTGAGAGGGAGTTGGTGGGTATGGTGGGGACCACAGTGCCCCTCAGGGGAAGTGGCCATGGCAGGTCAGTCTCAGAATCTACGATTACTACTGGGCCTCCTGGGTGCACATCTGCAGGGGCTCCCTCATCCACCTCCAGTGGGTGCTGAGCGCTGCCCACTGCATTTTCCGGTGAGTCATGCCAAGGACCCCTCACTGTGTGGAGGGTGGGGAAGGGGGCGGAAGCAGACACTGGGGCCCACTTGGGTTCTGGACTCAGACTGAGAGCGTCCTGGGGTCTGCCTCCCCCAGGAAAGACGCCGACCCATCAGTCTCCCGGATCCACACCAGGGACGTGTATTTCTATGGGGGCAGGACGCTGCTGAACGTGAGCCACATCATCATCCACCCCAAGTACATCACTGCCTTTCTGGGGTTTTCCTGGCCCTGTTGAACCTGGCCACCCCGTGAGAGTGTCACATGGCATTCGGCCAGTCACCCTGCCGTCACAGTCCCTGAACTTCAGCCCGGAGGACACGTGCTGGCTGACCGGCTAGGGCAGGGGTGTGTACTATGGTGAGAACACCGGGGGGTGGGTCCTGGATCCTTCCTGCCTACCAGGTGGGGCAGGCTGCGGGGAAGGTTCAGGAGCTCAGAAATACTTGGGGAAGATAGGAACCCCCTTCACAGCCACCTGTGCCCCAGGTGTGGGCGGGCACGGGGCCGCTTGGACACTCTGATTTTGGTTTTGTATGAAGGAACCGGGCCGGACGGGTCAAAGGTATTTGCAGGGTCCGACAGTCAGCCCAGTGCGCCCAGACCCAGACCTGCTGCTCTCAGATCCAGGAGTGGCAGGTTTGGGTCTGGGTGGTGTGGGAAGTGGCAGTGCTGAGGGATCTGCAGCATGGGGGGCGGTGGCGGTGGCCAGTTCCACATCCTGACCCCTCCGCTTCTACCCCAGAGCCACGGCACCCACCCACTGCCTGCAGCAGGTGCAGATCCTGCTGGAAGAGGAGAAAGCCTGTGAGGAAGGTTACGGGAAGTACCTTCACGCCAGAGCCAACGGGAAGGTCATCCTGGAGGACATGCTGTGTGCTGGCACTCTGGGCCGTAGCCCCTGCTATGTGAGGTGTTCAGCCCAGCCCCAGCTGCGGGTCTCCTCCTGGCCTTATGTGCTCGGTGACTGACTGTCCCCTCTCCCTGCAGGGTGATTCTGGGGTCCCGCTGGTCTGGGTTCAGGTGGGCGGGGTCAGCTGGGGCATCAGCTGCTCCAGGATTGAGCTGCCCGCCATCTTCACAAGCGTCCAGAGCCATGTGACCCGGATCCAGTGGCAAATCCGGAGACGCCAGTGAGCCTCAGGTTGGGGCCAGGCTGTCGGCCAGCAGAGGATGATGCTTCTTCCACCACATCACGTCCCCAGAGCCGAGCTGACGTCCCACACTACTCCCCTCCCTTCCCTGTGCTTCAGCCCTCCCCTGTCCTGACCCTCTTGTGGCCCCATCCTCCCCTGCCCGTGGGGAGAGGCAGGGTGGGGGCGCTGATGGGGGTGGTGAGCTGACAGGTGCGCTTGTCTCATTAAATTGTCTTGTAAACAGGCTGGTGGTCAGAGTGATCTTTGAGGTGGGTGTGGCCGCGGAGCTGGTTGACGGAGCTCACCTGTTTGGAATCCCAGAGTGCTGGCGGTGCTGGGAACGCTTGGGCTTGGGCAGGGGGAGCAGGGGTGGATGAGGTGATCTGAGACTCTCCCCCAACCCTGGGCCACCATCCGCTATCCCACCCTGCCTGCCATGCACCCTGTCACCAAGTGAGGGTGTTTGCAAGTTTACAGACAGCTGAGCCATCCTCAGGATCTCATTCATTCCGCCAATGTTGGTGGGTGCCATATCCCCACATACAGGAGAGTACACGTTGCCTTCCTTGATCTCAGGGTCTGGAGGGGAGGCAGATGTGCCACAAGGATTTGTAATACAGCATGGAAGGCCATACAACCCATAAACCCAACCAACAGTGAGATGGGAGGGTCAGGGCCGCAGTCATGGGAGGTCAGGACAAGACATGTTGCTTGCACTTGCCAGCAGGGTGACAAGTGAAGGAGCAGAGGAGGAATGAATAAATTCTGAAGCAGGAAACTGGGCGGGGGTCGGGTGGGGTGGGGTGGGTAGCATGAAGGAAAGCCCATGGAGGCAGAAGACAGTGGCTGGAAGACCAAAGTCCCCTTCCACATCCCCTCTCCAGCCTGGGTCTTGTTTGGTCCCTGGGAACCCTGATTAAAACACAGAGTAAGAAACAGATAATGACTCTCCACGTCCAGAGAGTCTCGCTGGATACGTGCCGACCTTGGCCACATGCCTCTTACTGGCCACAAAGTGGAAAGTGTTACTTTTATAAAGATGACCCTCAGGACAAGCCACCCTGCTATAGGGCGTGTGGGGGCAAATTCAGTGACGGTTGGATAAGGTCTTTATGGGAGGAATTATAGTGTGGAGGGAAGGTTGTAGGAGGCGGCCCAAACACATAGGGAAAATGTCTGATGTGTATGGATGAGAAAAAGCAATGGTGGAGGGGTGACTATCCCCCTCAGTTAATTTACAAGTCAATTCGGTTTTGATCAATGTGTCACCAAGGATTTCACAGAGGCTGAAGAGCTTGTCCTAAGAGCAAACGGCCAAGACTGGCCCAGAATTGTGAAGCGGAAGAATAGGAGGGGATTTTTAAGAAGCTGGAATATCTGGAACGGGGTGGACACAGGGAATGGAGGATGCATGAGCCCTGGCCCGTGGGGGTTGCATCGGTGGGTTGCACAACATGTGACCTCAAACGTGTGCAGCTGTGGCTGCGCGTGGCCCCCTCAGTTGCACGTGTGAGGGGGCCTCTGGATCCGAGTTGGCCACCCCTCCAGAGACCCATGGCCATGTCCAGCCACCTCTGGACGCCGAATGCTGCCAGGGCGCCAGCAGGGAAGCTCCATTCAGGACCCAGCATGTATTCTGGCTCACTAGGGTTGTTGAATACATAGTATACAAACTCATGCTGATGTACCAACTTTTAACCCAAAGTATTTACATAGAAACTTTGTCTTTTTTCTCTTCTAATCACTAAACATTGCTTTATTTTTAAAAGATTTTTTTATTTATTTGAGGGAGAGAGCACACAGAGGGAGAGGGAGAGGGAGAGGGAGAAGCAGACTCCTCACTGAACAGGGAGCCCGATGTGGGGCTCAATCCCAGGACCCCAAGACCATGACCTGAACCGAAGGCAGATACTTTGCCAACTGAGCCACCTGGCACCCCTAAGCATTGCTTTAAATCCTAGACCCAGCCGTCCCCAATCCACCCACCAGCTGGTTAAGCTTCATTTTCTGGGGCTGGGAAATGGGGACAGGAGCTCTGTCTTTGCTGTATTTAAGTGAATTTGTGAGTGAGTGAAGTCTGAATGGATGGAAGACATGGACAAGTCATCTAATGGGTGGCTGGCTGGAGGAGGTATGGATTGAGGACTGGAGGGATAGATGGAGGGATGGTTGGATGGATGGATGGTGGAGAGATGGATGTAGAGATGGATGGAGGATGGATGGCTGGAGGGATGGGTGGAAGGATGGATAGAGGGATGGATGGATGGATAGATGGATGGAGGGATGGGTAGCTGGCAAGAGGAGGGATGGATGGATGGAGGGATGGATGGGTGGGTGGATGGATGATGGATGGATGGAGAGATGGATGGAGGGACGGATAGCTGGCAAGAGGAGGGATGGATGGATGGAGGGATGGATGGGTGGGTGGATGGATGATGGATGGATGGAGAGATGGATGGAGGGACGGATGGAGGGATGGATGGATGATGGATGGAGGGAGGGATGGAGGGGTGGATGGATGATGGATGGATGGAGGGATGGATGGATGATGGATGGATGGAGGGAGGGAGGGATGGAGGGGTGGATGGAGGGATTGGATGGACAGATCAGAATGGCTCAGTGGTCCCAGCTTGAGTATCATTTTGGATTCAGCCACACTTGACTGAGTGTGTTGATAATTAGGTGGGATGAGTAACGTGCAGAATGTTACCCCACTGTTATTTTCACAGCAAATAACTGGAAACCACCTAAATGTCTGTCCATGGGGAATTGGTTAAATAATTTACTCTAGATCCATACAACTGAGTACAGTGCACCACTAACAATGATGTATTTCTCTACGGAGGGGTGGTGGTGAAGGGAATGTGTGCTCACAGTGGCATCATGGCCTGGCTCCTCGTACAAACTGTGAGTGTGGGAGTGATCGTGGGTGGCCACGGTGGCTACTGCTGGCAGGAGATTAATGAGAATTTCAACTTTCTAATTTTTTTTTGTAGCCTGAGTTACATTATTTTCATAATTAAAAAAAAGTATTTTCATGTTGGAGGAAAAGAGTTTTCTGGTTTTTAAAAGCCACATCAAAGTGGATTTTAAGTTTCTCCCCAAACATCTGCTTATAACTGGTAACATCTCAATGGCTCCATCAAAATGGCCCTGGGAAACCCTCTTTCTATCCAGGAAGTGCAGTGGTCCTCGTCATGAGAGATGCCGGGCATTCGCTGTGTGATGTGGAGATTTGACCCCCCTGCAAAAGAGAGATTCTTTGTGAAGACTCCCTAAAACATGTGGGAGGACCTTCCAGGTCTTTCCAGAGAGTTCTGCCAAAGCCAGGGCACTCGTGTTCATTGATATTGTGTTTCTGTTTGTGCCCAAAGACCGGGTCACCACTGGGGCCATGGAGGAAATGTGGTGATGGACGCTCCTCCCTCCAGGTTCCCGTGATCCCTCCGAGACACCACTGTCCATGCTAGGACCCCCTGCCCAGTCTTTTGCCCAACCAAGAGCTTTTGCAACCAGCCTGGGGAAGCCACATCCTTTACCTAATGGTATCCCTGAACTAGGCATCCTGGCCACAGTCCTGGACTTGACCTATCATCGGCCAGTTCCTTCTGGCCCCAGTCCTGACGGTTGCAAGCCCCCCACCACGCAGCCCCCAAGCCTTCCTCTGATCCTATCGCTGAGCCTTCTCTTGGTGGTCTGGTCCTGAGCCTATCAAGGCAAGCAGGTATCCTGCCCCGGGCCCGGTTGCTTAACAGCTAAAGCCAGGACGACCAGGGACTGATGATCTGAGGTTGATCTCCTTAGATAAGGGACCCAGTTCTCACGATTGGCACAGAAAGTGGGACCCTGGGTGTTTCATGCAGCTGGGGTCACTCCCCATGCTGTGGCGGCTGTCCCAGGTGTTGGCACCAGGCCAGAGGCAGGAGGGTGTGAGGAGCTGCCCTCTGGGGCAGCTGTCCATCCATCCCTCCATCAGAGCCTGGCTCTGAGTTGGGAAGAGGTCGGAGCACCAGTGCCCCCTCCTTCCACGCCTCTCTAGAAGGCCATTTTCCCTCGGTGACCCACGTCCTCCCTCTTCTCTCTTCCCGGATGCTGGATGCAAAGCTTTCTCTGATGGGCCGTAGGTCTCAGCCATGCCTGGAACAGCCCAAGCCATACCTCAAAGGCTGGGGTGCAGTGCTTAGACTCCTGTTCACCAATTCCAGAATTATCCTTGCCTACTCCGCCTGCCTGCATGCTGCCATGTTTAGCATGGGGCTCTCCAAGACTAGGGACCCAGGCTTCTCCACCCAAGCATGCCTCTTGGGGTCCCCTGGGCTCACTCTGTCCACTCCATTGCCGTGTGCCCATGTGCCCTGGACAAACAGGGCTGGGCTGGGCTACCTGGCACGGGGACCCTATCGTGGCCCTCTGTCCTTCTGTCCCCACTGGAGGTGGCTCTAGGTCAAGGTATGCTGTCTCCCTGGTCACCTTCCCTTGGGTTCCTGAGGCCCAGTGGCCCTGAGCCACTCCGAATCACTGTCACCACTGACCACAGAGGCTGTTCTGAGCTTGGAGCTCAGGGGACAGGAAGCTCTGAACGGGGCTCAGGCGTCATCTTCCTGAGTCACCCTTGGAGAAGCTGAGACACAGCTTGCTCCTGACACAGGAGAGAGGGCCCAGCAGGGCAAGGGGTGTGCAGGCCACTCAGGATGGGGGCACAGGGGTGGAGGCTGTCCCCAGGTGGGGAAGCCCCTGCAGGACATTGCACCTGCCCCGAAGGGCCAGGCCAACATGGGTGAAGAGCATGAGTCTGCCCTGGTCGAAAAGGTGGGCGGGGGGGGGGCGGTGGAGAAGCACCCGGGGCTGGGCCTGCCACGGGTTCCGGGGCTTCTGCTGCTCAGATGTGTCATGAGGAAGCATCAGAGTGAGCTGGGGGTGGGCTGCAGGGCTCCCCGGGCCTCAATCTCCAGGTGTGTGATGAGGAATCGGCCTCAGGTTAATCTGGTCTCCAGCTTTGCTGATTCTCTGTGGCCCTCTCTATGGAAGCAAAGGCCACCCTCCTTTTGGAGACCGCATGAACTGGGAACGGTGTGTGTGGGGTGCCCTGGGATCTGGGAGCCCGCCGACTGTGGGGTAGAAGCTCTGCCCGATACATTGCCACCTGCCTGAGGCCTGTGGAACGTGGCAACCTGTGCTCAGAGCTGGGGGTGAGGAAGGGTGCCTCCCTGGGCCCTGGTTCAAGCGTTAGCTCATGGGGGTGTAGGAGGCTGCCTTGGGGCGAGTGGGCACAGCTGTGGGCACCGCCCCCTCTCCTGCCCCAACCCTCCCAGCGGCTCTGCTCTGTTGGAGATGTCAGCGGGACGGCCACTCCACATGGCTCAGGATGAGCCTCAGCTTGGGGAAGGGCCAGGGGATGGCGTACCCAGGCGGGCAGCCACCAATGGGTTCAACCTGGCACCCGACTGCCCTTCTTCCCCAACCTCCCCTCCAAGTGAAGGGCTGACCAAGCCGCCTGCCTACTTCCTGTGGCCAAGAGATAAAGGGGCACAGGAGGCCCCCAGCGCAGAGGCCCATGGAGTCCAGGCAAGGTAGGGGTGCCGGCCCCTCCCAGACACCTGCAGAGGCTCCGGGCCCTCTCCATCCCTGAGCCCGGGGCCTGAGTCCCAGCCGTCCCTCCACGCCCTCTCCCCCTGCAGATGCTCCAGGTGTTGCTTTCGGCCCTCTTCCTCCTGGGGAGCTCCACTGCTGGGACCCCAGGTGAGTCCTGACCCCACGGGACCCCTCCCTTCTCCAGAAGCTTCTGTAACCTTGTCTCTAGTTCCAGCCGCTGGGAGGCCTTGTGGCAGCTCATCTGCACACAGCTCCTCCGGCCACTCCAGGAGGGTCTAAGTGGGGGCAGCCGGGCTCAGCACCGTCTCCTGTTGCTTCCTCAGCGTCCAGCTCCTGATCAGGAGCTGGTGGGCATCATCGGTGGCCACAATGCCCCCCAGGGGAAGTGGCATGGCAAGTCAGCCTGAGAATCTACGCTTACCACTGGGCCTCCTGGGTGCACATCTGCAGGGGCTCCCTCATCCACCCCCGGTGGGTGCTGACCGCCGCCCACTGCATTTTCCGGTGAGTCCCACGTGCTGCTGTCCAGCTCTGGGTGGGACGTGGGGGGGAATCAGGAGGTGGGAAACCTGGGTTCACGGTAGGATTCTGCCTGGAATTGCCACTCCCCTCCCCGCGGTGCCCAGGGGGCTGCCCTAGGAGGAACCACCTCTGTGGCTTCTTTTTGACCCCAGGAAGGACACCGACCCCTCAGCCTACAGCATCCATGCCGGGGACGTGTATCTCTATGGGGGCAGGAGGCTGCTGAATGTGAGCCGTGTCATCGTCCACCCCAACTGCAACTACACCAATCTGGGCGCGGACATCGCCCTGCTCCAGCTGTCAGACTGTGGAGGGCACTGCTAACGTCAAGCAGGTCAGGCTCTCGTCAGCCCAGCTTGAGGTCACCCCAGAGGACTGGTGCTGGGTGACTGGCTGGGGCGCCATAAGGATGCACCGTGTGTATGGGGCGGGGGCCGGGCGGGGCCTTTCCCAAGCCTGTCATCCCCGGGAACTCCTGGCGGGCAGGGGGTTGCAGGTTCCAGAAAGGAAAGAGAAGGGGCTGCTCGCACATCAGTGCCCCCCACCCCCGCGCCATACACTCCACTCGGGAGGGAGATCCGGCCCCCCAGGCTGGACGGTTCTGTGACTGGCTGACAGGCAGACTGAGCTCAGGGCTCAGTCTTGGGATGGGGAAATGCAAATGCTTATTTCCACTTTAAAAGGAGATATTTTGGGGGGAAACCCAGAAAAACTCACCCTTCTGTTTTCTTTCTGGTCGTTCTGTCGGCAGAGTCTTAGGAATTCAGAGGTGGGCAGGGCCTCCTGAGCCCCAGGGGGCCCCACAGCGGTCTGCCAGGGGGAGGCTGCGCCCTGCGGGGCCCCAGGTGGCTGGGCAGGACGTGCTGCCAACCTCTGGTCGCCTCTCCCAGAGTCACAGCACCCCCCTTAACGCCTGCAGCAGGTGAGGGTGCAGGTGGTGGAGAATGCCGTCTGTGACCAGCTGTACCACGCCTCTGGACAGGGCCAGCAGGGGAAGATCATCCAGGATGACATGCTGTGCACGGGGACTGAGGGCCCGGACTCCTGCTACGTGAGTCCCACCCCATCTCCGCCCCCTGTCCCGCCCCGGCTGCTGGCGGCCACTCAGCCCTCCCTCTCCACCCGCAGGGCGACTCTGGAGGCCCTCTGGTCTGCAAGGCGAAGAGCACTTGGTACTTGGTAGGAGTGGTCAGCTGGGGCTACGGCTGTGCCCTGCGCAACATTCCCGGGGTCTACGCGCACATCCAGACCTATGTGCCCTGGATCATGTGGCAGATCTGGAGGTGCCCCTGACCCAGCTGGGAGCAGCGGCTCCTGCCTTCTCCCAGGGCCTGCTGTTTCAGCCTCAGCCCCACTTGCTCTGGTCTGGGCTCCACCTTCTCAGTGTCCCCAGCCTCCCCGGCTGGTGGCGGATAGAGCAGGAGGATGCTGGGGAGCGGGGCCGGAGGCCTCTGGGGCAGAGGGTGCCTCACTGCGCTGTCTGTCAGATTAAAGAGCTTGAGGAATGACCCGAGTGTGGCCAGAGTCTTTGTGGGATGGGCTGACCACGGGCAACGTGGCTTTCCGTGGGAGTGTGTCCCCCAGCCCTGATGTGCAGAGGGCTGCGCGTAGGGGCCGGTGTCCTTCCAGGCCTGGGAAGGGCGAGCGAGGATCTCAGTGTCGGCTCCACTCTGGGGCCGCAGCCCTGGGGCTGGGGAGGGAACGGCTGAGTGGCCCTTGGTGGGGGCAAAACATCCCGGAGCCCGATGGCGGGTGGGCGGGTAGCAGTGGGAATGGGCTAAATGGCATTGAGCTGTGTACTTCCACTGGTCACGGGGGTGGAATTATGTTTGTGTACGTGAACATGATCAAACACCCAAAGTCCCCAGCACACGTTCCTGCATTTACGGAGGGCCCAGCGAGCGACGGAGGGCCGCCGCCCAGCACGGTCTGGCCGCTCTGTGAAGTAACAGATCTCTCGCCCCGTGGCTGCCCCTCGGACTCTGCTGGTCCCTCCTTCCACCTCCCACCAGCTCTCTGGAAGGATGGCGTTTGCGGGGAGCCCTTGGGCAGGGGCAGGAAGGGAGTGACTGCCTGAGATAAGACAGGCTTCGGTGTCTCTGGCCTCGCCAGAATCAGTAGAGCCGTGGCTCCCGGAACCTCTTGGTCCTTCCTGCTCCATGTTTGCTCTGCACCTGGACCAGGCAGATGCTGAAGGTCACTCTGCCTGGGCTTCTTACCACCCCGTTGCCTGAAGCCTGATCCCTGACCACCTGTGTGGCCTTGCCTCGCAAGGGGTCCCGGAGCTTGGGGCTGGGCCGGGGGGCCAGGGAGGGACCAGGCCCTCTTCCCCGCATGCAGGGCAGAAGGGAACAGAGCTGAGAGCAGGACAGCAGGCGTCAGAACCGCCAGGGACAGGGAAGAGGTCGGAGGCCAAGGGGGAGGGGCTGGGTGTAGCTCCAGGCCATGGTGACATCATGCCAGAGTCAGACGCCACCAAGGCTCACGGAGAACCTGGAGTCTCCGCTGGGCCCTTGGTACACGTCTGTCCAGATAAGGAGGGGGTCTTCGGAGAGCAGGAGGGGCAGGCTTCACGTCTCCAGCTCCAGCCCCCGTCTCTTCCTGTGGTCATTCCCGGGACTGGGGTGGTGTGACCCCCACAAGGCCAGGGTCACAGGGGTGATGCTGGCAGAGGACATGCTAGGGGCCACCTGGTTCGCCCTCTCTCTGGAGCCCTTGGTCTTTGCAGTGGGGAGACCTGCGGGGAGGCTGGTCCTGCAGCCCCCAGTGCTGGCCGGGGCTCCAACACCCTCCATCCTGCCTCTGTCTACAGATGTGGCTCCTTCCAGTGCTCCTTGTGCTCCCCTTCCTGGGAGAAAGGGGTGAGTCCCACAGCCAGAGCGCCCATCTGCCTGGAACCCGGACCTCTGACCGTGGGGACCCAGTCCATGGCTCCTCCGAGCCGGGGCCTTCTCCAGCCACATGCACGCTCCATGGTCCCTCCTGGGCTCCTTGCTTCCCAGCTCCCTGGGAGATGGGGTGGGGGTGGGGGGTACATATTCGATCCCAACTGTCCTTGGGGCTGCACAGCTTGTACCCCGCTGGTCTGTGTGCGAGAACCGTCACGCACACATGCCCTTCGGTAACCTTCAGCTCTCAGAGTCCTTTCCCTTGGAGCAGCTCCTCTGCGTGGGACTCAGGAGGAAGTCGAGGCAGAGAATGGTAAACCGAGGCTTCCTGGTGCCCTGCCCGCCGCCACCGCGTGCCAGAACCACATGCAGGGCTTTCCCCTGACTTGTGTCATTTAAGCTTCAAAATCACAGCAGTGGAAATGCCATCCAGGGGCAGGGAGACTGGAGGTCTGCCTCCTTCTCCAACCTGGTGCCACCAGCCACCCACGGGGGCTGCTGACGTCTAGATTACTTACAATTACGATGAAAAATTCAGCTCCTCAGTCCCAGGGCACACTTCCTTCCCGTGGCCAGGGGCCTGGACCGCACTGGACCACGGTACAGAGCATGCCCATCACTGTAGAAAGTTCCACTGGGCAGTGCCATTTGCAACTCAGAAAGCTGCGTGTGGGCTATCAAATCTGCGGTGGAGGTGGGAGGAGGGTCCAGCTCTCCGGCCCCCCACCGGGCCCTGTTTCCCCAGAGGAGGCCGGCCGGTGACCCTGTCTCTCCACCAGGGAGGAGCTTCAGCCCGGAGGCCCGTATCGTTGGGGGTATGGGGGCAGCACCCCGGCAGTGGCCCTGGCAGGTCAGCCTCCGAGACCAGGGGCAGCACATCTGTGCAGGCAGTCTCATCAGCCACCGGTGGGTGCTGACCGCCGCCCACTGCGTCTCCAGGTGAGTCCTGCCTCCCCACACCGGGCAGTCCGGGCCGTGAGATGCCCTGGGGCAGCTGTGCGGGGAAGAGAATTGTGGGTCTGGAGCAGCACCCGGGCCCACGGGGCTCCCCGGCCTTTTCTGCCACTGGCAGGCGGCTCGGAGCCCCGCAGGCGGGCCTGGCGCCTGCACCTGGCTCTCCCCTCCAGGACTGGGCCGCAGACGCTGGCCATTCCCTTCAAACTAGGCAAGAAAACAAACTTTAGTTATTTGACAATACTTGGAAGTCAGGAACTTTTTTCCAATTTTTGGAACTCTGGTTAAATGCACAACATAAAATTGATCACCTCGATCCCTTCTCAGTCCACAGTTCACACTGTTGAGTAACCGCCCCCCCTCCCCAGGAACTCCTCTGTCTTCCCAAACTGAAGCTCTGTCCCCACTAAGCACTCACGCCCACCCTCCCCGGCCTGGCACCCACCCTCCACTTCCCATCTCCATGGTTCTGACGATCGCAGGGACCTCATCGAAGCCGAATCCTGCAATGCGTATTCTCTGGAATCGGGCCAGTTGCACCGAGCAGGTCTTCAAGGGTCACCCATGTTATTATAGCAAGTGTCAGAAATTCTCTCTTTTCTATCGCTGGATGTTATCCCGCTGTGTGGATGGGCAGTGTTTTGTACATTCATTCCTCTGTCTGTGGACACCTGCATTGCTCCCCGTTTCAGCGATTGTTATCATGCTGCTCAGCACGGGTGTACGAGAAAGTAGAGAGTGTTTCAAGAGCTAGATGCCCTCTGACGATATTTGAAAATGAAAAGCAGAATCAAACTATCATAAAACAATCGGGTACTGAATTCTATATAAAGAGAATTCACAATCAAGGTTGGTCCCTCCCGAAGCTGAGCTATGGTGTCAACTTAACCTTAGCAGATGCAATAATTAAAGTATAATTGGCTGGTCCCAGGTGTCATCTTGGGGTAAATAAGCCTTTCACAATTTTGTTGGTGCTGGGGCTGTTCCTGGGATGTCCTCGGTAGATGTCCAGTCCTGGAAGTCATGGCCGACGGTTACTGGGGGCTTCCTGCCCCAGGGCACTGTCCCAAGCACACTCGGGATAACCGCCTTAGGTAGATACTTTTACCCCCATGTTCCAGGATGGGAAACTGAGGCACAGAGAGGTGAGTAATTTGCTTAAGACCGAATGATACGCAAGAGGCAGATGCGGGATGCGGACCCTGAGAAAAGGGACACTGGGGTTAGGGGCAGTCCTGCTGGGACAATGTAGCCCTCCATCGGTCATAGGCATCAGGCCCAGAGAGAGCGGCTCCCTGAGGAACTCAAAACACTTTCATCAACAAGTTCCTGCCTCCTTTGTGCTTTCGAATGGCCCCTCCCAGGTCACTGCCCACCTGCTGTCCTCAGATGCCAGGGAGGGGGCCTGCTGACATGCTCCATGAGTTCCGCAGCCCCCCAAGCGCAGCTCCCCCAACTTGTACCCCTGCCCCTGCCGAGAACATTGTCTCCCTGCCCACCACTCCAGTGCAGCCCAACCTGCCCCCCAGCCCCCCCGGCCATCTCAGCACTGTGCCCCGGCTCTCTGGCCCAGGAAGAGCAGGGCTGTGTCCACTCCGTCCCCACCAGTATAGGCCCTGCTGCATGGAGGACTCTCCACAGTCAAAGGCTGAACCACCTGTCACCTGGAGCTGGAGTTTACATGGGAGTCTTTCCCTGCCAGACGGGGTTTCCTGGGGACAAGTGCCCAGAGGATGTGCCCTGTGTTCCTCATGCCTGGATCCGACTCAGAGGGCCAGGTAGAGCAGACGGTCCTTCAGTGCCATGCCCTCTCCCCAGCAGAGCTAGCTGGGTGAAGCCGAAGCCACTGGACCACCGCCCTCAGAGCCCACCATGTCCTTTCTGCTTCCTGCCCAGCTTCACGAATCTGCAGGATCTGAGCATCCAGCTGGGAGGAGCTGTGCTGTATCCCAGGCCCCGGGACTCCGTCTCTGTGGCTGCCGTCCGCGTCATCCAGCACCCCTCCAACGGGGACGCCCTCCAGGGTGGCGATGTGGCTCTGCTGAAGCTGGCCTGCCCTGTGCCCTTCTCCAGCGCCATCAGACCCATCCCTCTGGCTCCACCGGGCTCCGACTTTCCCACAGGCACCCTCTGCTGGGTGACCGGCTGGGGGGACATCTGGTAGAATGGTGAGTGAGGGGCAAGGGGCTGGGGCACAGGGAGCTGCCCTGAGCTGAAGGCATGCAAGGGTGCAGTGAGTCACCCCAGTCTTCTCTCTGCCCCTCACCTCAACGTAGAGGCTGGCCCAGGCCTCATCCTGCACCGCTCAGCCCTGCTTTGGCCTGGCATCTTCCACCCCGCCCAGATGATAGGAATGTGGGCCCTGGGGAGAGAACCGTGGAGCCACTACCTTAGCTCTTCACAGAGAGCGGCACACCACCTCGCGGTCCCTGAGGGCCCCTCAGCCGCTGTCCCCTGTGTCCCACAGTGGCCCTGCCTGAGCCCCATAGGCTGTGGGAGGTAGATGTGCGCATCGTTTGCCTACCACCCGGAGCCCATCACCAAGGAGATGCTCTGTGCTGGCTATGTCCAGGGCCAAAAGGGATTCTGTGAGGTCAGTCCCCTCTGGCCTATGTTCCTGCCCCTGATTCACTGTGGGATCCTGGAGAGTCACTGGACACCTGTAGGCCTCAGTTTCCCCGTAAATGCAGTGGGAGTGAGGGTGCAGAGCCCCCTTTCACAGGGAAGCAGTGACACACCTCCTCCGTGCTTAGCAAAAGGCTCTCCCAGGTCCCCTCTCTAATCCTAAGTGACCCTGGGAAGCAGGCTGGATCCTGGACTTGGGGCAGGGGTGGCATCTTACGATCTAGCTCCACGAGGTTGGGGACTTTTCTCACCCAAGGTGGAACAGCGTCTGGCTTGGAGCTGGAACTTGACAAAGATTTCTTGTAAGAACGAGTCCAGAGCCATCCTGACAATAAAAAGCAGAAAGTGTGGGCTCCAGCTGTCACAGGGAGGTGAGCAGCTCCTGCAGGGGCTAGAGGGACAGGGGTCCAGACCCAGAGATGCCATGCACCTTGTAAGGGAGGCAGTGTGCATCAGAACAAGCAGGCAGGCTTTGGATAATAACAACAACAATAATAATAACAAAGTGACTACATCTCAGCACTGCTTTTACTAGCTGTGCGACCTTCAGCAAATTGCTTGACCTCTGAACCTAAGGGTCCTCAGCTGTTACAAACAAAAAAAAGAGGCAGCTAGAGCTGATATGCAGATTGCAAGGAGGAACCTCTTCAAGATGGAAACTCCGGGCTACCACACCTGCTACCTGGAGCCCCAAGGGAGCTTGCCCTGTGTGTCCTCCCCTTGCCTTAGCATCCGGCCCCCTCTGACAAGCTCCCTGATGTTAGCCTCAGTCTGAGAGCTCCCACCCCTGCTGCACAGACCCGAGTCCCCCTGGGGGGAATAACAAACGTTATTCTTGCTTCTTTCAGGGCGACTCCGGGGGCCCCCTGGTCTGTCAGCTCAGAGACAGGCGCTGGGTGCAGGCGGCAGTGGTGAGCTTCAGCAGGGGATGCGCTGAGCCCGGACTCCCGGGGGTGTATGTCAGGGTGTCTGCCTACCGGGCCTGGATCCAGCGCCACCTGCTCCGACGGAGGAACTTTCAGAGGGGCTGACCCCTCCCCTCCCCTCTAATCGGTCTGCATTCTTACATCTTTCTCCCATGTTCTTGTGCACCCCTTCTCCCTTCTGTCCTGTTGGCGTTGCCTCTCGCACTCATCCTCCCTCCCCCCGACCCTGCTCCGTGCTCCCTGTTCCCACCCGCCCCCATGTGGCCAGCTGACCACTGGAGCCCAAGTCCTGGCTTTAGCGGAGAGAACGGGAAAGGGAGGCTGGCAGTTTGCCTTGCACCTGTTTAAGGCAAAGAGCTGGGGCCAGGATGGAAGCACGAGTTGCGGGGGTGGGGGATGCCTGGGGGCCGCCAGCACCCACCTGCAAGGAATAAATGCTTGGTATCTTCTGGCCAGTTCTTCCAAAACGTCGCGGAGAGGGGCAGCACCCGCACTTGTCCCAGGCAGAGGCCCCGAGGGGTGCTCTGCGTGCTGGTAGTCGTCCGGGCGGCAGGTGTGGGCGGGGCCAGCCCTCAAAGGAGAGGCCTAGGGCTCCCCCTAGGCAGCGGCGGCTACAAATTTGGAAGATAACGCCTGGCTCCCCGGGGCACGGGGACACCCGCCGCGTGAGCGCAGACCCCAGCAGCGAGGGGCGCAGCCGGGGAAGGCGGGAAGCGGCTCGCTCCTTGACCCGCCGCCCGCACGCCCTGCGTCGGCCCCCGCAGCTCTCCGCAGCCCCTCCTCCCCGCGGCGCCCCGCCCCTCGTGGCGCCCCTCCTCCC